AAGTTCTTTATTTCATAGAAAGGAAGGAAATAAAGGATTTTGATTGTTCATTTTCTTATGCATTATGTTAAGCGTTATGCAAGAGTCTGTGCTTCCCACTTAACACACTATACTTTATGTTACGCATATTATAGAAATTCGGAAATAAAAGGCCACAGCACAGACTTTTGCATAACACATAGTGCATAAGCAAATCAACTAATCAGAACTAATCTTCCCTTTCTTCCTATACCATGGAAAAGAAGGATTTCGATTGATTGATTCTTTTATATGCACTATGCATTATGCAAGAGTTTATGCCACGGCCAAAAGGCTGCGGTCGATTTGAACGCTTTCAGTACTTTTCAGTCTTTTTATTTTATTTTCATTTATTCTATTTTTATTTTCGTCTAATGAACGATAAAGACAAAATGATGGTTACAAGTGCTTAAAGAATGCGTGAGCGTCCAAATCGACTGCAGCTAAAAGCGCATTCTGAATACAGACCGATGTATGCAGTTGCACTACCACTTCAATACTTAAATTCACTTTTCTGTAAAAGATGAACGTAATATGTGTTCTGCATAAAACAAATCTACCTGATATTATGAATTTTACTTTTACCTTTTTAATATTCGTATGTTTAATACATGTATCGTATTGATATATCATTTATATAAAAATATTTGAAAACTTTAGTTTTCATAGAAACGGGCAACCGGATATTGCATAATGTAATTAAACAAAATATGCGCAAGGACACGGGATGCTTGTAATGATACTATACACATACCCATTACTATTTTAAAATCAATTCAACAATGAAAGAACTCTTGTAAAAACATGTAAAGTGATCTCGTAAATAACTCTAAGAAAAAAATCATAAAGCGATCTGCCTTAATAGAAGGTGTTTATAACAACAGATTCATTTCTATGGAAAAAACATATATATTATGTTCATTTTTTACAAAGAAATCGACAAATCTGGGGAATTTTGAAATTGATGAACGGTAGTGTACATGTATGCAAGTATATATTTTAATTATGTACATATTTTTAATATAAATTGAACTTTACAACTATCATAATTGATTAAAATTTATAATTATTTATTAATCTTTAATGTATAAATTGAGAAAATTACACAATCCCCTTTCATTTAAAGATTCTTTTATATTTTAACAAAATATAAACAGAAAATATAACAATTTTTGTATAATATCTTATTAACTTGTATATATGATTAGAAAACCTAATATTTATGGTGTTATAAATAATTATTTTAATGATGTAATTACTTAAACGCTGGAAGTATATTCAAAAGTATATATCTAAGTATATATCTAAATAAATGTGAGATAATTATCACATTCTATTTTACAGTACCTTTCTTGTTTTTATCATTACCATACATAGCATCCAAAAATAAACCTAAAAATACTATAAGTGTACTCAACCATTGCCTAAGAGAAAGATTATTTCCAAAAATTAATATAGAGCCTAAAACAGTAAAAAATTTCCTAGTAGTGGTTATAATTGAACATGGCAATGGACCAAATTCAGCTACAGTTAGAAATATAAAATATTGTCCAAATGCTCCAGCCATAGAAAATGTCGTTATATGCCATATGGTGGAAGGATATCTTTGTAGGAAACGAATAAATTCAAAAAGTTCTCCAGAAATAAGAATCACTGTGCTACTAAAGATAACAGACCAAAAGTTCATATTGAGCATCATGTGTCCTGATTTTGAGTTATGTTCAGCTCTCATTCGTTCCTGCACTGCACTTGTTAATCCATCCATCGTTAACGATAATAGTAATAACAATTCTCCAACTGATAATTGTGATTCTGCTTGCTTTTTAGAAACATTACCATCCTTATACATAAACAATGCAACTCCAATGACAATCAAGAAAATGAATATGTACTTTCTAATTGGATATATCTGTAAAGAAAAGTGATAATTAAAAATGATATTAAAGATAGCAAAAAATTCAATGTATAAAACTATCTTGGTAAATAAATCTTATTAAATTACCTTTTTTCCTAGCAATACACCTAATACCATTACAGGTATAGGCTTGCCAGCTTTACCAATCACCTGCGTTGGATAATTGACAAACTGTAATGCCATGTTACTGCACACCATAGCAAGAAGATATGTTAGAGCAGACAACGAATAATATACAGTTCTTGTAGTATCCTCGCCTTGTTTCATCACAGTCAGCAAAATCATTTTAGCAAATATGTAATTCACCAGACACTGGATGAAAACCAGTGCAAACATGTATGTAAATTTTTCCCGATTCTCCCCATCACCATATTGTCCTCGTGTGATTTTTTCTTGTAACATACCAAAGTAGAAATAGCACACAAATATGCCGGTCGAGCATATGAACAATTTAGTATATTTGTTAGTAGTAGCCATTTTTCAATAGATATAATATTGTAAAACCACATAAAAAAAAGTCTGTCTTTTCATGTGTCACTCGCGTTATTTCAATCAGGGCAAATCAAAGGATCCGAACTGGAGACCCTTTAAACTTTAAAGATTTCATGTAGCCGAGTTTCGCTGACGAAATTCTCCCACCTCGCCGAAAACGAAGCAGCGTTCAAATCAAATCACAGATTTCTTATTACATTAGACTGCTAACTCTGTTCCTTTAACTGTTAAAATTTGCCAAAGTATATACGCATGCTCAAACTAAGACCCACGCCAGTCCAATCAACAAAGAGATATACGACATCTTGATCACAGAGAAGTATAAAACATCTTGAATCAATCACGGAGAGGCTAGTAGAATTGACATAAATAGAGTGGAGCCAATACATGTGTCTAATACTGATTGACTACACCGTTTATAGGTTAACTGTTAAGTCCTATGTTCACGATGCTAGAAATATTATAACATGTTAGCGCGTTAACATGCTATAATTTACGTTACGCATACTATAGAATTTCAGAGATAAAAGCGCATTCTGAATACAGGCTCTCTTCTTTTTCTAGGATACATTCCAAAACTTCCTCTCTGAGAAAAATTTTACTCGAAATATATAGTACACGTGACATATACTACAGCATATAGAGTAAATTCTCTTCCTCGAAGAGATTTTGGAACGTAGCCCTAGGTGTATAAAGCCAGCAGCCATGATTAAAGGTACCTTTTCGATGCTGACGCTCGACGTTCATTTTCAGCATCAAAATAAGATGAAAATCACATGCGGAAAAGGGCTGCAGAATAAAAAATACATTATATATAGAAGAAGAAGAATTCTTTTTTTGAATTCCTCTGCTTGGTATATTCTTTTAGATCATCCAATAGCAGCGATTTGAGTTGAATCTTCTGATTCGCGACCATTATCGCCTCGCTGATTGGCTGCCGCTTGCTGCGCCGACTGAACTAGACATAAGACTAACCTAAAATTTAACCTTTAACCTAACCTTTAATTTACCTAGACTTACTTTATTATAAAAGCACGAGAAAGCAGTGTAATACATGTTAATACATATCAATACGTCAGAGAATTTTCTGTCAAAGTACTGTGTGGAGCGACAGGAGACATTATAATTCGCCTTCATCCGAAGGCATCTTTTAATAAATATGATACTTCGATATTATATTCGAAGTTTAAATTAATTATAATCTTGTAGTACACTAAGCTTCAATTACTCGCCTTGTGCTGATCATACCTTAGGTAAATTACACGAAAGTTTACATCGAACATCAAACGAAATCAATTTTGATTGTTACTCGTAAACAGACTGCTCAAAGACAAAACAAAAATGACAATATTGAAGCAATATTACTAACGTCATATCTGTGTGTCATCTTTAAAAGGAATGTTTTATTAAAAAATTTCAATGGAGGTAAGATTTAATTGTCAGTACAACTTATTCAACTCCCCAATATTTTTTATTTATGACACATTAAATTATACTTTGTTTGCATCGCTCACATACTTTTTCTATAAATAATATGTAAGTGTATCTCAGTGTCTGTCTTCTGAAATTCCACTTATTCTGTCTATCATAAGACTTTTACTTATAATTTTTTCCTAGAGTAAAATTAACTAAAAATTTTTATTTTTAATAAACTAATGAATTTTTTCAGCTTGGTTTGTCAAAATAGGATATAACACGATTATAATATAACTCCGACACAGTTGTGATAATCGTGATTGCATTTTAGATACAATATTTCTTTTAGCATAACACATTTATTTCTGATTGACAAAGATGATTGTTAAAAACAAATCCTGTCGATTGGTAAGTAATGAATGCATTTCTAAACTATAGATTATGGAAATTTAAACTTCTGTACTTTTTAATTTTGTTAATAATATGATTTATATGATTTAATTATGCAGTCACATGAATGTGTAATTGAACATTAATCTTACAATTTATGCAGAAAGCAGAGTAATCAATTTTAGTAGAAATTTTACTTTTATTATATATACAATTTGAAATTTTACTTTCATTATATACAATTTGTTAATTTGTTTATTCTTTGAACTATGTTACTGTATATAATATATAATTATATGCTATATAATATATAATACATAATATATAA